TATCAGGTATTATTAGCTTTGTTTACATCTGAACTCACGATTTTAAAACACGTCAGATAGAAAATGTACTCACTTCATTACAAAGCAACATTTATTCCCATCCCCAAAACATCCCTCCCAAACTGATAAAGGATCTCAGGTATAATATTTAAGGGGAATTAATTGAAATAACCATTTTTGAGAGATGTTTCACTTCTTAGCCATTTCTCTTCAGAAATTACCATAATGTCACTACCTTCGCAAGTTGTAGGTCAACAAGTTGAGGAGGTAGCTAAACAACAAATTTTTTTTACAATTCTTACCCAAGTCCGAAAGTGACATGTTCGCAATTGCGGACCTGGTCCGTGACTTTATTTTTTTTACAGTTTATGCTCAGGTTCGCAATTTGTGGAGGTGCCACTTGTCCGCACAAGTGAAACCTTGAATGAAATATCTTGGAAATGACTGTATTCAGATATGAGTAGAAACTATAACTTTCTTAAGTCACGAATCAGGTCTGCAATATATTTTTTTTTGTCATTTAGCTACCTGCATAACTTGCAGACCTGTCACTTACTGAGATGGTAGCATTATGGTGCATTATCTGAATCGTTAAGAGATGAATCTTGTTTGACAAAAAAAACTATGCCTCTTAATAGTTCTAATGATTTTCTATCCTAAACCTCCCTTAACCATTCAATATCCTAATTTTACTCAAAACCATTACCAAACAATTATATTTCATTTTACACTATATCATAAGAATCTCTTAATCAGTCTGACTAGTTAATCATTCAACACCAAACTATTCAACAACTGTTAAACAACCTTTAAATCATTTTTCAAAATAACTATTTTAATTAATTTTTTTAAATTTAAATATTAACAAACATTTATTTTAATATTTTAATTTTAAATGGTCGACTAACACACAAGTGGAAGACCTACCAAGGAGACAATTCGTATCCCCATCATTGCAAGCTTGCAATTGGGGCATATATAACAAAATATTTATATATATTTTTTAATTTTTTTTTATTCACCTTTTTATTTTTCTCCAATAACAATCAATTAAACCAACCAACACAACAATGGTACTTAAGAGTATATCCCGTAGAATTATTTAAATAAAATAAAATAAAATAATATTTTATATTTTATTTCAACAGATTATTTATATTATTATTTAAAATAAATAAAAAATAAAAAATTTAAATTTGGGGACTTTTTAAAACTTGATGTGAAGTGAAATAAATGTATTTATTTTTATCAATAAGATTGAATTATTCATATTTTATAAAGCTTTATAAAATGTGTATTAAAATGATAAAATTATACAATTTTAGTAATATAATTAATATTAGAATTCTTTTTATAATGAGCTTTCTCCATGATTATCTATTTTCAAGAAGCTGTTGGAGCATTATAGAGAACAAAAAATTGATTTCTCTATTTTTGAAAAAGCCGTTGGAGATACTCTAACAAATCAACAGAGATTTTTTTATAACAAATTTAAAAAATAAACTAGTTTTTTGGATGCCCAAGCGTAATCGAACACATTTTTTTTTTTGTATTTTAGCAAAATATGCGATCTTAAATATCTATTCATTAATTACTCGAATACAATAATAAACATGGAATCACGTGAGACCAACATGTTTTCGTAAGACCATTTTTTTACGCTTGAAACTTCAAAGCAAAACGCTGTGAAGATAACCTTCATAGTGTTTTTGCTGTGAAGTTTCGGTGTCTTTTTACTTTCACAGCGTTTTGCTGTGAAGTTTCGGTGTATTTTTACCTTCACAGCGTTTTGCTGTGAAGTTTCAAGTGCAAAAGAAATGATCTCATGAAAATAAGTTGGTCTCAACGAGGATCCAAATCTATAATAACATATGTATTTAAAGTGAAAACACTTATGTTTTCTATATCTAAAAAGAAAATAAAGACATAATAATGGGATAGGCAAGTTGTCATGATCATAGCGGTCTATAACAGTTTAGTAGGCCGACATGCATTTAATCATTTTCGTAAGGTGGGCCGTGAGCTGTTCAGTACTCGTACAATCATTTTGACTTGGGCCTGATCCGTTAACTCTAAGTGGGCCTATGCATTTCAATTATACAAACCATGTCTTTTCATTCCATTTTGTTTTCTAGAATTCCAAATTATTTAATAAAAATTAAAATTTATTATTAAACGTATTGATTTAATCATGTATTTATCAATAATTTTATATTAATTTAAATATTTTATTTTTATTTTTTAAATTTTGTTAGTATTATCGAAGACTTTTTACGTTGATGCTCTCTTGTCGATAATGATGTAACACTGGTTTGATAAAACCAAGACTTTTTATTATATGACTTTGCTCTGATAATGTTATGAAAAACCCAAGACTACTGATGAAATAACAAATTAAAATTGATTTTCAACGGTTATTAAAAAATAATTGGGTTCTAAGTTGATATATATATATATAGAGAGAGAGAGAGAGTGTGTGTTGGGTTCACGTGATACCAATATGTTTTCATGAGACCTTTGAGACCATTTTTTTTTACACTTGAAACTTCACAGCAAAATGTTGTGAAGGTAAAAAAAAAGTCGAAGCTTCACAACAAAAAATATTGTAAAGGTTAATTTCACAACGTTTTGCTGTAAAGTTTCAAATGTAAAAAAGTAATTTCACGAAAACATGATGATTTCACACGATCCCAAGTGTCTCTGTCTCTATATGTTCAACACATATATAATATATTTTTAATGTTAAGTATCAATTTAATATTTCAACCTCAAAATTCAATAATAAAAATTAATTTATCACAACAAATTATAAATAGCATTCCTAAAATTATAGATGAGATATTGCTTTACTCTTCAATTTATTTATTAAAAAAAAAATTAAAATCCATCATAAATTCAATTCCTGATATTTATCGAAAATAATTGGTTCCCACTCGTTTGAAGGGTGAGATGTCACTTCAAAACAAAAACATTTGAAACGTTGTTGTACTTTTTATGGCATTGTGAATAAAGACAAAAATAACCAACCAAAAGTTTATTCGAAACACATTCATAGCATGGTCAACTTAAACACGAAAACTGTAAAAGTACGCTTAACTTTTCCTTTTAGGTATGCTTGTAAAGTTATTCACTTAAAGAACCTGTAAACATCTTTTGACTTAGCAAATGGTCATAATTCAGCTACCAGCCAATCTAATCTTACTTTTATATACCAAATTACGTCAATAATCATCCCACATAACAAACGATGTCTTATCAGATAAAGTCGAGATGTTTGAGATTGCAGAACTTAGAGGTGACAGTTTCGACTTAGTTATCGATAAACGAGTCAGTTTGTTCAATAATTTTTCTTTAAACGAGTCGTATGAGTAGAATATTAAAACTTAGCTTAAAACGAAACTGAAATGTGTTGAATGAGTTTGAAAGTTGCCCAAATGGTTGCAAATGCTTGCTATATATTATATTGTTTTATTAAATAAATACGATAATTATAATAATATAACTTTTGTAATCATATATAATGGGAAAAGTTCAAACGAGAATACATGTGATTTACGCGAATGCGGAAATGCTTATAAGCACATCATCTAGTTTTTAAGTCACAATTTTAGAAAGATTTAAAGAGCAGTAAAATATTAAAAAAAATTACTTTGTCTGAGAATATCAAAGACATGTAGGGGTAAGATTGGAAAAAATTGTAAAATCACATAATGAACAGACGAAGTCAATGATTGTGGACGTGATTATCACTGGTTTTCGATTTATCATAGTATTATCACATCATTATCAAATATTAAAGACTTTTCTGTTCGTCACAACAAAATCGCAACATTATTGACAACTGAGACATAGGCGTACACTAGTAACATTTAAAAGGATAAAGACAAGTCGAAGATAGCTATAGATTACTGATAAATACTAATTTATTTTTATTTATTTTAATTTTTATTATGAGTTAATTAATTTAGAGATACAAATGCATTTTCGAATTTTCATAAGATATAAATATTTTCGTTTAAACCCTTCCTATATTTTTTATGTTAATTAAATACTAGAAGGGTACTCGCGCAATGCAGCGAGATACATCTCGATTTTAATGTTCTATTTTATTATTTGTCTCTGTCGATGTTATAATACGATTTTATGTGTTTTTAAGAAATCAATAATGATTTTATCTTTGAATAAAATATAAATTTGAAGATATCATAAAATTTTGAAAAAAAAAATATCAATGTTAATATCAAATCAACTATTTAATATTTCTCATTTTTTATGTAATTTCTTTAATTTATTTTTTTCAATTATAATTTAATTTAGGTTTAATAATGAAATAATATATTTTTGGTTTAATAATATAACATTTTACAAAGATAATAATTAAATATTCTGTTAGAATTCAATAATTATCCTAATTATATTTTATATTTAAAATGAGATGTTTATCTTGTATTTGATTATGTTTATCTGCAGTTAGTTACACAAATTCATATATGAAGCTTTAATAAGTTGTATTTACGCACAATCTACTCGTAATCTTGAATTTTAAGTAACATACATTAATAAACAGTACTTTATGTATAAAAAATGATTTTTAAATTTTTTTGTCCAATGCTTTATAATATAGTATAGATATAAAAATTCAAAATGTTAAAGGGTCAATCCCACCAAACTCATTTTAATGCCTTTAAAACTCCTAGAGTCCTATCGTTTATGGGTTGGGCCGATTTAGAAATTAACCCATTGGGCCCAAAGATAAATGCTTGGCGGAATATATTTATTTTGTATAAAAGTCAATATTATTTTATTTACAACAACCATAATAAGAGATCGTTTAAACATTTAATGGATAAACGTTTACCGATATTACTTACCCCACAGATTGAACATGGAAATGACTAAGAATCTTACTCCGTAAGAAGCATAACAAGAACTGAGAGTCCTATCCGGTAAGTGAAGAAAAAGACTTTTATCCGGTAAGTGCTTATTAAGTTTAAGATGCTTACCAACAAATTCATTTTAATAGTGGAGAATGTTACACAACAAGGTAAGTGAATATGATGTCTTATGCCTGTAAGCGCTTACCTGATAAGTGTTTAGGTAAATAGCCACTAAGTATGACTATAATCTAATAATTAATTTAACAATCTTCAATAGAATTAATGAATAACTGATTAATGCTAGAAGTTTTTAGACTTCGTATAATATTTACGTGTTATTCTTGTTCAGTCTCTTCAACGATCTCACTGGTATCCCCAATGCTACGAGGCGTGAGCTGATGAAGCGTTGGTGTTCGATGAGACTGAACAATCTCGATTGAGTTCATTAGAGTAGTTGTGTTTGATATTGGACTGTCATGAGGGGATTGTGCTTTTTTACGTTTCTCTTTAACCTTCCTGTGCCATTGCTTTATCATAAGCTTCATTTGATCTTCTAGCACTGCACTTTTGAATTGTGAACCCATCTGCAAATGAAAAGACCATTTCACGTCTCGATGAAATTTCTACTGTATTTTCACAAAAAAAGATGTATACACACACTCAAAATTCAATCTTAGTTAATAACGTGAGGACCATGAGCTCAGATATTACTCTAGGAACCGTGAGAGATAGATAGAGAGACGCGAACCTGAATCACGAGAGCATAGAGGGGAAGAGTAATGTAACTACAGATGACTTGAACCACCACCCTAGAAAAATGTCAGATGATTTTTCAGTACTAGTGCAAAATTAGAGGTCTACCAGTTTTGGTGGAAAACGATACATTTTTAAACTTTCAAGGGCAAAATTGGTATTGGTAATTTTGAGGTGTTTTTTTGAATAACTTACGCTAATATAACCCTCGTCACAACAATCGTTGTATTTTCATGGAAGCATGAATTTATCCCAAATTGTAACTGTGAATAACAATAATAACAAGAAGTTATTGAATAAACTTTAACTAGTAATGATTAAAATTATACATAAACCAATTGTAATGAGATACCATGTTTTACATGTTACAACACACATTCTGGATATTTAAAGGTTGTTTGACAGTTGCTGAAAGGTTTGGTGCATAATGATTAAGTGGTCAGAATGATTAAGAGATTTTCATGATACAGTGCAAAATGAAATATAATTGTTTGGTATTTGTTTACAGTAAAATCATGACACTTAATGGTTAAGGGAGACTCATGATACAAAATCATTCAGAGGCATTTAGAACCATTAAGAGGCAGACTTTTTTTTTGCCAAACAAGATTCACCTCTTAATGATTCAGATGCTACCTCTTAATGAAGCTATTAAAAGGTAAACAAACAATTATTCTGATAAAATTGACACAGTTATTCAATACTAGTTTTCTCAAAATAAGTCATAGTAAAAGGAATGTACCGTAATCCATATGAAGAACGCAAACTCGAAAGCGTTCTGCAAGATGGAAAAACAAGTGAGATCAAGATTATTAAATTAGTTTGATTAGTGACACGGGATTAAATTATTACCACAAAAAGTATGTAGTGCACAAGTGTTAAGACAAATCGAGGGTTGCTAAACCAGAAGAGATCGTCATTAGGCGTAACCAAGGGCACTCCTATGATTACTTTGTTTTGTTCCTTGAGTTGTAGCGCCATCCTTGCCACAATCACTTGTAGTTTGGTTCCAAGGACTAGAACGATCTACCGGATTAGCAAGACATACAATATCAGATTATGAGTAATAGAGACCAATTGTATGATCAGATAATAAAATATCAGGTGATGAAAAAGAAAATCGAACATGGTTGGTATAAAATGTAATACTTACAGCGAGTGGAACTAAAGATACCCACAGATACATATGCCAACCTAATTTGCATGATCATTAATTTACTATCAGTTTTTCTATATGATGTGAGGTCAGAGTTTTAAGGAAACTAATTATGTTGAAAAAAAAATGAGCTAAGATTCATACGTACCATGAACATCAACGAGCATGAGAATAACAAACATAAACCACATGAGAGGACTGTCCAAATGACGAAAAGGTTGATCAGAAATATGTTTAGCATGATATAACATTACTCTTACTATAAAATCAGTATATTATGACCTAAAAGAAAAATAATTTTGTAAAAGTATTAAGTTTGAATATTTCAAAATCCAAAGGACTTTGATGTAATTTACAAAGTTAAGGGGGCTTTTTAAGCAAGTTAATATAAAATAGGGACTGCTAGTACAAATTTTACCTTACACCGACTACAACTTTGAAGTCATCTTCCAAGGAACGTTGTATGTACTTACGGAAATTGAAAGAATTGTTTGTTGATAAATGAGCCTGAAATTTGTATATTTTTAAACGTTAAATTTTGATCGGTCAAAATAAATATGAAAAAGCATTTATATGGGTACTTACTGAAATAAAGCCATGACGCAGAGTGAAATAGTCGATTTTAGCTACTGAATGAAAGAATTGTCGGAAGAAGCATTTCTGTTTCAGTATATATTCCAAGTGTCCGTCACCATGTTGAGATATAGAAAAACAATAAAAAAAGGGTATATTCTTGTTCAACTTACAGTCCACAATAGAATCGGCGTGTCGATAGGATCGTTCATATGCCGTTGTCCAAATGTCGTTTGTCTTGTAAATCTAAAGCGGTTAGGATCTAAGTGAAAGATACAAACAACATGCGTTACTGTTTGCTGAGGTGGCTGATATTTGGACTTTAAAGACATTTACCAAAATTTGTGTAATTGAAATATATTTAATACCATTATCCACCACATATTCAAGTGTTTGAGTTTCTTTCTCCCAAGCTTTCCAAGTCCTCATCTGTTTAAAATTTTCAAGAACGTATAAATTCTAAAATTTGGGAAAAGATCAAGGGGTTAATTGAAAATTTGGCATTCCAATTTTCAAGTCTTTCCAACATTGGTAACTGACATTGTAAAATTTACATATTAGTCCCTATACTTTCTAGAAATGAACAAAAGTTAGAATAGTTACCTTAGCACTCCCCAAACCCATGGTAGCAACACTATACACTATTTGCATGATAGCCAAAACACATATAAAGGTGTTCAGCTGGTTTACCCCTTGTTCTGATATAAAAGATGTCATACCCTATATAAAATAAGCTTTTGTTAGAATATAAACAGTTACAGATATTATAATATAACGAACAAGTCAAATACTGGTTTGTTGCTCATGAAACATATGATTTGGTCATCTTATACGGTCGTACTACCTTTGAAGCACAATGACCAGATGAGTTAGATGTGGCGGAAGCCGAAGCTAGGAGTCTCCGTTGAGGTGGGCCCGTGTTGTATTCAGAGGCTCGTGGTTCGAATTGGGGAGGGGTGGCATAACGAGGTCCGTATGCTTCGGTTGGTTGTGTCGTTTTGTCGGAGATTTTGTGACAAGGAAGCATTGAATCTGCTACTTTGTTTGGTATGCAGATTTTGGAGATTTCTCTTTGAGTCACTACAAGTATCAGTGACATAAGGCCCAAAAGCATCAAAACTGCACCATATACAACACACAAGTTCAGTTTCGAAGTCAACTGTCGTAGTTTTCTCAAAATCGACACTGGATCTTAACATTTTTCTAGCCCGGATTAGTTTCCCGCATAATGATTTTGGAAATTATTAACATGGTTATTGATTATTATTCTATAACAAAATATTTCTTATAAAATCCCGAGTTCAAAACCGATCTCTTTGACTCTAAAAAAGTCAAATTCTTACCTTCCTTGAGCTTCTCTACTGCGTCATATAAAGCAGTTTTCCTATGTTCCTTAAGCCACTGCATTACCATACCAAAAACAGTAAGCATACACATCGATAATTCCACAATCACTTTATATATATATATATATATATATATATATATATATATATATGGTTGAGTTCACGTGAGATCAGTCTGTTTTGTAAGACCCGTGAGAACATAAAATACACTCAAAATTCACAGCGAAACATTATATATATAATCAAATACAAATAAAACTATGGATCCTTACACGCGAGGCAATATGGAATAAATGCTCGATTGCAAGTCCGAGAAAGATGAACATGAAGCAAACCGTCCCCAATGTCCATGTGGGGGTGTATTCCAACGTCGAGCCCGTGGTTGCTCCTCCTTCCACCGCCATTTTTGCCGGAAAACGAGAAGATAGAAGTAGGAAAATAATTGAACAGAAAGATGAATGATTGAATTTTAATTAAGTAGAGGAAGCAAAGGGTGGAGACACGTTCAAAGTCGGAGTCAACCTGTCAACAAAATTTGTGTTAAATACATATGTGGTAACAGGTACAACTAGGTAGGGTGATATTACTCTATCTCCTCATATTTATTTTCTTTCGTATTAAATTGATACTTATTAATATATAACTCGTTACGCAAGCCGACTAATTTTAAGAAGACTATCCGTTTCACAGATAGCTTGAAGTCATCGTATTTCAATCTTTGTGGTCACAAAAGGATTCTTATTTTTTATTAGATTTGAACCTGGTACCTCCAGACACTTTTGACATTTAGAGCTCAAACTCAAACCAATTGATTAATGTAATTTTTTGTTTTTATAGAATACCGATTCATATAAATACACGTTTCACCGTGATTTATATTTAATGAGTACATAAAAATATTGTTTAATACTTTAGACCAAATATTTAAATGTTTATAGAAACTTAAAAATATTAAATAAAATGCAAAATTAAATTAAATGAAATTACGTTATGGGTGTGACTTGGTTGGCGTTTATTATTATTGAGTTGTAGGGTGGGGAAGATGAGGACTTTTTCCATACATAGACATCAAGAGTCTTGATCGATTATTTAAGAATCTTGATTTCGAGGAAATTTGATAATTTATGTGGATAAAAATCACACCGATAACAAAAATCGAACTTATACACAGGAATTGAGACAGTCAGAAGGTTTGCCTAGAAACAGCTATAAAATGGGATGATGACGGACGGGATTTTTGTCCAAACATTTTCGGATTCTTGTATTTTTTTTAACAAAATATTTGAGAACTTCAAAATTTATGAGATTCTTGAAAGCTCTTTTACTTTAAGATTTTGTCTCACATGATTTTTTCCCGTCTAAGTATTGTACTTAATGTACTGATTAATATATGTTTGTTTCGGAATGTGTTTATTTCACATTGTGAAACTTTTTTACGTGTATTTTTTGTTTCACAAACACGTCAAGAAGGTTTATATTGTGAATTGAGTACTTGTAAAACAAATATATTATGAAACAAACATATGACAATCAACATTCTAAATCGTAGTCTTAGGTGACATTTACTAAATACTTACCCGACAAATATTTACCAGTAAAATTCAACACTATCACTTATTTACTGGATAAAATTTTAGTCCACTAAAACGACATTGTATACAACAATTTACCCGGTAAATGCTAACTGTGGTAAGAGTCGTCACACTCATTTACTGGGTAAGACTATTGATTCTTGTCTCGCTATTACAAGATAAGATTTTTGGTCTTTACCATATTCATCCGGTAAGGTAATGTGACATGGTAAACGACCCCTTAGATGAAAAAATCATATGAAATAACACATGATAAACAAATTTTCAAGGTTATCATAATTTCATGGGTTTTCAAAAGAAGGTCCCCTACACACACATATATGGTTTCCTTTACAAATCCAACCGTTAATAAAATCATACAGATTACTCTTTACCGTCTATCTCGATTATTTTCTAATATAAAACGTTGATCATAATAAATGAACTTTGATAATTTTTCACAAATATTCTAATCATAATAAAAGAATTCTTATCATTTTTAAATATTTCAATTAATTGATTTATATTAGTGGTTGAATTTGTAAATGAAATAATTTACTATTATTTATAAGTAGGAATATAAATAGAATTCATCCTAAATAAAATCAACCCCACCTCTCTCTCTCCCTCCCTCTCCCTCTATATATATATATATATATATATATATATATAATATGATATAATACAAAATATTATTCTTCTGTTCTAAAACAAATGTTCACAATCAAAATAACACACAATTTTAAAATTGTATATTTATTACACTTTTTTTTATTAATAATAAAACAAGTCTACCCAAAGAAAATTTAGAAAGATGAATTTCTCCATCTTATAATTACGAGTAAAATCATAAAGTAAATACTTGAAATAGACAATTATTCTGAGACGAATTAAAATAAATATAATGATATAAGGTCAGTTTCAGTGGAAAACAGAAAAACCACGAAAAAACAGATGAAAAAGTAAATCCAATTGTTTTTTTATGTACTTTGTTTCGTTCGAATTTTTTATCGTATTTCATATTTTTTTCAATTTAAAAATACGAGTCGAGAGGATTTCTAATTTAAAAACAAAGTTGTAACCGTTAGATTAATTGACTAACCGTCTCTTAATCACTCCATTGAATCAATTAATCTAACGGTTGATAAAGTGTTTTTTATTTTTGATGTTTTGAGATTTTCTTCTAATCCTTCACATATTTTAAGAGAGAGTGTATTTTCATGGAAATAAAATAATAGTTTTTTTAATAAATATAGGTTGGTGTCAAATTGTATTAAATTTCAACTACCATTAATGATCGAGTTATTTGTGGGTTGTGATAGCTGACTTGAAAAATTCTTGGTCATTTACTTAGATGCTACGGTCTTATTTTTGGTTTCTTCCCCAAATTTGTGGTCCACACATGAACCGGAGTGGATTAAACCGGGTTCAGATTAGAGTATTTGGATTCGATTTTTGCAAAGCTCGGTTTATTTTTTAATCGATCATTACTTCAAAAATTTGGTCTTATTCAAGCCAATATGTATGTGTATATCTGTGCTTATATGTGTGTGTGTGGGGCACTAAAACTAGTTGTTGTTGGTCATTTTGATCTGGCTTTCATCTCAAACTGGTTATGACCTCGGCTTTACTTGGTCTTGTCCGGATTTTTTTCCTGAGCTAATCCTTAATCGATTCGATGCTCGAAATGGTAACTATTTCAAACAGTATGAAAGGACTACTCTTGTAATCGGGCCTTGAAAGGAGCGGTCTAAACTTAACTGATTACGAGATAGTCCTGGAACTAGTTTTGGGCCTAGGCCCAATTGTTCATATCTACTCCCACCGTTCTAAAGTAATTTTTGATTTCGTTAAATAATACTATGTTTTGCGAAAGTTTACAAACCATGTTTAAATTTGTTTCTTACTGATAATCGTTTTTTTAATTTGTAACTTTGATTATAGCTAGTTTTCTTGTTTTACTTATGTTAACGAACATTTTAAGTAATTAATTGACCATCAAACATTTTTAATTAAATTACTTATTCATAACATGTATTATGTAACTTTTAATAATATTAGTAACACGGTGCAAGTACTAAGATGTCTATTCAAAAGATGAATCTCGTTATTTCTTTGTCCAGATAACTTTAATAATTTATTTGATCATTTTAGAGAATGAACTTACAAGACGTAATTTGTCGTTAAATACTTAATTACAAATGAGCATGATTCGTTTCCATATATATCTTTTACCATGTTGACAAGATGAAAACCACCGACCGGTAAAAAAACAAGACGATTTGGCCTGTCCAATTATTATTATTATTAAAGAGGAAGAACTTTGTCGGTTTTGTCAATTTGGACAACTCCAACCTAACATTTTGGATTATTGACGATTCTATCACGTTTCTTATTGTTAATTCTTTCATGAGTGAATTACATTTTTGGTCTCTTGTCCATGACCGTCTTTTGGTTTTTGTCTTGCAACATGTAAAGTACACTGGTGATCCAAATTTCGTGTTTCGGAGCTCAAATTGGTTCATCTAAACACGGTTAATGGAAGCTCTATTAAGTTAGTCATGAGCTCTTCAAATGAGGGCCATTTTAGTCTTTTTATGCCTAAATTTATAGTGAATTGGCATTTTCGTCTTTTTATGCCTAAATTTACGGTGAATTACATTCTTGGTCTCTTGTCTATGACTACTTATTGGTTTTCATCCCTACATTTCCTAACGTACACTGGTAATCCAATTTTCATGTTTTGAATCCTAAAATGGTCCCTCCTGCGACATTGTTTCTCAAGCAAATTGATAGACGACGGTAACTATTAAAACAAATATGATAGTATCATCTTAGGTATTCCACCTATATTGGTGGAACAGAAAATAATATTTTCTGTTCCACCCAATTGCAATCTTTATCTATATCTAATATCACGTCAAATGTGAAACAATAAATTTGTCTTATCACATATGACACCACACATGAAAAAAATGAATTTTGTTATATTCAGTCTGATGTAACTAAGAGGCTGTTTGAAAGTTGCTGAATTGTCTCGTATAGAAATAATTAAGTAGTCAAAATGATTAAGAGACTCTCATGATATAATGCAAAATGAAATATAATTCTTTGGTAATTATTTACAACAAATTAGGGCGTTGAATAGTTAAGAGAGATCCATGATACAAAATCATTCAAAAGAGTTTTAGAACTATTAAGAGACATTTTTTACCAACCAAGATTCACCTCTTAACGATTCAGATATTACCTCTTAATAAAACTATTAAGAAATAAACAAACAACCTTTAACACATCATAAAAATCCACTAGATTAGTTTTTTTTTTTAAATCAACACTATGCGAGCCGACTAATCCCATGGCGACCACCTACTTTGCAAATAGTCCGGAATTACCGCATTTGAACCTCCGTGGTCACAAGATGATTTTTATTCCTCCTTGAATTTGAATCTAAGACCTCTTGGTATTTTTGATCTTTAGTGCAAAACTCAAACCGATCCTTGTGGTTTAAAAGATCATTGAGATATATATAAAATGATCCGGACATTTATATCCGGTCAACTTTGTTGGTTGACGGTTGGAGCTTACAATTTTCGAATTTGAATAAGAGTAATAATTTTACCAATAGAAAAAAATAGTTGCATTTAATTTGTTCAACTAGCAATTTAATTTGGCAGAAAATAATTTATAAGAAAAGTCCAGAATAACCCTAGGGTTTCAAAATCACCCCCTTTCTTTTTCAACGTCTCTGCTCCATTTCCACTTCCCGATCGCTCTACTTCTCTTCGAGGCTTCCAATTTCTCGAACTTTCCACCCTACGATCTACTGCAACGATGGTGAGAGGCTCATCTCAATCTCAGACTACCTCCTCTTCTGCCACTTCCCGACCAGGCCCCGTCGGCGTTGTACCTCGCGGCACCCCTGCTGCCACTGCTGGCATGCGACGCCGTCGTCTCGGCACCGGATCTTCCTCCGGGTTCAGTGGGGGAAGCGGTGGTAATAGTGGAAGCAACATGCTCAGGTTCTACACCGACGATGCTCCTGGCGTCAAGATCACTCCAACTGTTGTCCTTGTCATGAGCGTCTGCTTCATCGGCTTCGTCACCGCTCTTCATGTATTCGGCAAACTCTACCGCCGTTCCTCCGTTGAAGCTTGAATTTCGATGGATCTGATCTAGGATTTCACGCTTTTGTTGTATGATTTGAGCTTTCATGATCGTAAACCTACTCCAGTATGTCACTAATTTCTCTGATCTGTAAATACGTTCTCCTTGCATCTCAAATCCTGTTTCCATGTCATCCTTCCAAAAGGAGAGATATAAAAGATCTTTAGTTTTAATTTATCAATTCTTCGTGTTTTTGGAGGTTCAAATTATGAGATACTTGCACGATTTCCGATTTTTGTTTGCTAATTTCATGACCAAGGTTTCGTATCATCTGTTGAAGCACCAAATCATTTATGGCAAAGTAGTTCCTTATAATCAAATTAATGATAAATAGTGGTAAGATTTTCTCTGTTTAATTGTTTCTTCGCGCAACATCTGTTTGCGGTTAACTGGATATAAATTAGATTAAGCTGATCGAAATTGATTTGATTACATGAGAAAGGATCTTTAATTTAAATTTGATACTAAGGGAAGGGGTGGGGTGGGGTGGGNGTGGGGTTGTTCATAAAAATACTTGTCGATTTATTCCATTGTGACATCGGTCGGTAATAAGCACTTTTAAGTTTTTTGATAAACAACTTATATCGGTGCCAAACTGGTAATAAGGAGTTTTTGAAGAAGTTAAACCATTCTAATTTATAATAAGTTGACAAAGGCATTTGTAGAAAAACATAAGTTGTTACTTGTTTCAAATAAGCAATCCCAAACACTTCCTAAATTTACATCACTTTGAAATATTAGAAAATACGTAAATCAAAATATTGAAAAAGTCCTTCAAAATTAAAACAAAAAAACCGTTCGAATTCAACCAAAAAACTTAAAAGGTATTAACCACAAATGTGGTGCCTGATTGGTTTTAGCTTGACTTCAAATGTCAAAAGTACCAGGAAGTTTCAGGTTCAAATCCAAGGAGGAATAAAAATTCCCCTTGTGGCCACGGAGGTTCAAATGCGGTGACTTCGGAATATCTGCAAAGCAGATGGTCGTCCTGGAATTAGTCGGCTCGCATAGCGGGTTGCATATTCAGGTTAATAAAAAAAACTTAAAAGGTCTTTTGAAACGACGAAATTTGTCTAAAAATATATCATTTAGGGCCTTTGAACTTTAAAAAAGAAGAAATCATAGGTCTGCCTCAATTCGCTTATAAATGACACAGAAAAGGATGATGTGTCGATTTCATGGACAAACGGGACATGTTCACTTGTTTTTCTATTGACGTGGATGTATAACCATGACTCACGACATCAAGATTTTGAACATCGCCGGTTATTTCAAAGATCTAAAGAGAAAACACATCAATAATTACTTTATATTATACATCTAAAAGACATTTGATTGTATATAGACACAATACACCATGATGGGTATTGATGAAAGTTGGTCCCCCTCGTTTTTTTAATAATGTTCTGAATAGTGTGTGATGGCGGCAAGGCGTGGCTTGAGGCCAAGTTAAATCCCATGATTCAACTCTGAATTATGGCTTGTAATAACGCGCTTAAATCCCTGAATTCTTACTCGAATAGAAAGTCGATCTAGAACTGAGGAGACTCAAGAGTCATTCAAGACAGGAAATTGAATTCAACTCATCAAAGCCATCACCGCTTAACATCGAAAAAGGCCTGAATTTGCTTTTGATATAATTTTTAGTAAGCTTAACATATTTGATATTGATACACGTTCTTTTTCCATTTATAAATTTCCTTTTATATGAATATAAACTGTTCAATACACTGATACACACACCTATACATACATGATGATATACGTATCCATATAACATTACAAACTTATCATCTTAAGCACATCTTGAAAAATGTCATCACCTCATCAACATATCACACCTCATACCTTACGTCATTCAAATTTATTTTTTAATGAATAAAATATTTAAAAATTTGATACAAATCATTAATTAAAATAGTTTTCACCCCCAACAAATGCTATTAACCAACCAAATTTGTAGGATATGATCTTAGCATCGCATAGTAACCAAAATAGACCACATATTGTATTTATAATAAAATGTTTTTTTTTTTAAGTATATAATATTTATGTATGACAAATACAATAAATAAACTCAGATACCCTACTTATTTTTGGTAAGGTTTAAACCTTTGATCTTCTAGAAAACCAAAGACTATGATACCATTAGGCTAAATACCCTTTTTGATTAAAATGTTGTAACAAAACAAAATGATACTTGGTTATACATCTATCCCATTTCACAAAATATATTAATATTCTATTAAGTCATGAGTTAAATAAACTAAAATAACGAGTAAAATTTTTAGAATTTTTTTTTAACGAATGACATTCTTATGATTTTATTGTTCTAACAGATATATTCCTTCTTAATAACGACGTACCAATGACCAACTACGCAAAATTTGGACGTTTTGTTACATGTTTGAAACATTGTTTGATTTGTAAAGATCATACAAAACACGCCATTGTTTGAAATATTATATTATTTTTTTGGAGTATTGAACATTGTAACTCTGGACTTCATATAGGGCTTGATCATATTGTTGTTTGGTTTTACATATATAAAATTCTGGGTTTGCAATATTGATACAAAACAAACAACGATATTGGTACTAATTATGTTGGTTGATATATAATATAAAATATTTGTACCAATTATTAATTGGCCGGTGCCACATATGAAAGAGCATAATATCTTACGAGTCCCACTAAATAGGGGTGCGCAAAACCCAATGGTCCGAAAATCCGAGTCGAAACTGAGATGTTTATGGAAAACTCGAATGCCCTGAAATTCGGAAATTCAAAACCCGACTTTTAGGGTATATTGGACTCTGGTTGAGTTTAATTTGTGACCACTGACTCGTCCGAAAACTATATATATATATATATGTATATATAATGATATGAAAGTAAATAAAATAAGATATTATTTTATAATTTGATTTGTTTAAATTAAAAAATTAATTATATTAAAAATGATTTAATTTTATCGTTTGTAAGGGGGAAAAATATATGATTTTAATGTAACTAAAATTTTAGTTTAAACAAATCAAATCACAAATCAAATAAAATAAGATATGGTTTTGTGATTTGATTTGTTTAAACAAAAAATAAATAATTATGTTAAGACGATTTAATTTAATTTTTTTTCCTATGATCGTAATAAATAACTTATTTTCAATATTTTAACACCAAAATAATTGAAAACCACTACAAAATGAACTTCAATTTTATCGTCATAAAATTAGGTATATGATTTTTCTATTGTTTTTAATTAAAAATCTCAAAATCAACTATTTAGATTTTAACCAAATAAAATATTCATAAATACTCTCACATTTATAACTTAAAATTGTATAAATTCCTATATAAATTTCAACCGGATTTTCATACCAAAATAAACAAAAATACTAAAACAATAAAACTAAATTGTATTTGTTAGAATCCAAGTGTCACGTTTCGATTTAGGAAGATGCTGGTTAATTACCCAACAATATTAAATATAATTAATTTTTTAAACAAACTAAATCATAAAAGAATATCTTATTTTATCTATTTTGTTATAATTATATATATATATATATATATATGTGTGTGTGTGTGTGTGCGCGCATAAATATATCGTTTTTAGTTTTTTATAGAAAGAAAATAAAAGAACAGGCAAAAAACAAAAATGATCATTGATTTAACAGAGACGTTAGTAAAAAAACCGCAGTCAAAACAAATTGAATACCGTAAGAACCAAATCCACAATAAACATAATATAGAACCTTAGTAAAAAAACAGGAAACCACATGGACCGAGTCCACAATTCACTCCATTATCAATCATCATAAAAATTGACTGAATAAATATTATATATTACACATTACTAAATTCGAACCCGACTAATTCCAACTAAAACCCCAGTTAACTCCAACCCAAAATAATCCAAAATCTAAAATTCAAAGCTTGGTTTCCATATCAAAATCCGATCAAGTTTTTATTTTACCCACCTAACTGTTCTTCAGATTCTCATGGATTAACCGAGATTCGTACAAACATAAATTACCAAAAAATAATAATAAAATAGAAAAAAGTAGGCCAATTTATTTGTTTTGTTATTACTAACATTTATTGTAAATATTTAATTATAATAAAAAGGGTGCCATAATTTTCTAACTTTTCGTCCCTCAGCTGTCCATTGTCTGTTGTCAAATAAAAATACAAAAATACTCCCTCTACAGTTCTCTGTTTGCTTTTCATAAAGCTGGAGATTCAATCCCTTCGTAGTGGCGCTACCAATCCATCCATTCAATTATCGCAATCCTTCATCTCTTCTCTTTCTCTTCGTGAATGGAGGTTCGTCAGGAACCGCCCATGGATAATATATCCACCGAAGAACGCCGCCATCAACGCCATCCCTCACCGTCCAAGCACTCAAGAGCTAAAGCGGTTCCCGTCGACACTAATTCCGTCACTCAGAGGTTTCTAATTGCTCTCTTTTGTTATTATTCTGTTTTATGTTCGATTGTTCTTCGTTTCAGTTTTTGGTGGTTCAATTTCTATTTATTTGCCAGAATCCGATTTCCTTTGATTGATTGTTTGTGTTCTGTTTTTTTGTTTTTCCTCCTTTTTTTGGCAGGCTCCAGAAAGAACTTATGGCTCTTATGGTATGTAATATTGTCTCTCCCTGTAGAAGTTATAAATCGATCAGATTGGAATGGATATATGTTTTTTGGCGTGGATTGTTCGATGTATCAAACTCGGTCGCTAATGTTTTGTCCAAAACGATCGATCGATTAGGGCAGTAGAGTAGGAGGGCTTGACGCTTGAGTTTGCAAATACATATGAATATAAGAAATTGTATTTTGATAGTGTCTGTGGTTTTGCGTAAGAAAATATTAAGAAATTAAAGCAAGAAGTTTCTATCATCATCATCATCATCATCAGAGAAATGTATGCTTAGTGACCATGAAGTTCTAACACCTAGTACTCTGCCTCGATGATCATAGATGTGGATGTCTGTCATTATGCTATGGAAAAATATATGTTCACTTAATCACTTTCAATACGGAAGAAAGAACCAAGTGAAAGATAGGATTAGTCTATTGGTTAAGAGGACTAATTTTCACACAAGAAATTTGTAGATATTTATTTCCTTTTCAGCATAAATATAATATGTACATTAAACTTCACAATACATGCTTGATACATGAAATGTTGGTATAACTTTGTAACGATATCTGTGTCAAATTTCAATCTAGAAAGTCATAGGTTTGACATTATGGCATCAATAATCAGTTTGTTATACATATATAGAAGGGAGTATTCCTTTGGCAGAGGCACTTGCTACTGTCGAAATTCTATCTATTTCCTGCGGAGATAGATTATAGAATAGCTAGTACATAGTTATCTCTCATCATATCGTACTGTTTGCTACAAACATATACATGTACATTTCAAGGTTAGGGATGGTGATTATTGTTTGCATGTACTGTTTAAGACATTTTATGTGCCTTTGTTGGTTAGACTTTAATCTCTCATTGGTATCATTGAAGCACTAATAGGACCTCCTGAGTGCATGTTGGAAGTGTGAGTTAAGAATCTGTCAAGGTGGTTAGAATGAGTGATAAATGAAGGAAGCTGTAGCACTCGGTGTCTTAGGCATTTCATTTGTGTAAGCTGGTGTTTTCTCATCACTATGGCAATTATGTATTTGCTGATAGTTACCTGAGAAAGCTAAGCTATGCTGCAGTAACCTGGTATCAATGGACCTGGACTTCATGTTTAAATGAAACAGCCTCTATTGGTTACTTGTACATATATCACTCTCTTCATAAGCTGCTTAAGATTCATATACGGAAAGCTAATCATTGCCCATGTTAGGATATTGTACCCTACTTTTTATCAAAATCCCAATGAAGGTGAGAGCTCCATGTTTGAGCTTAGTATCTCATGAGAAAAGAATTAGATTGGAGATGTAGGATTCCTTATGGTCACAATGCAACTCATGGAGTTCGGTTTCCTTCGCTGACTAAGATGATTTTGTAATTGACATTTTAAATTCATTTGGCAATTAACCTGTGGTTCCTTTATTTAAATAAACAATGTTTATAAGTGTCGAATGGCTTAGTTTAATCTGTATATTAGTATATAACCACAAAAAACTATAAGACGAGAGCTGCAAATAGGAAATTTAGTAATATAGATACAAAATAACTCATGTTAATTTTGAATTTCCTAAATACTTAGTTAAAACACTAAAGCAAATCAAACTGGGACATTGTTGCAAAGAAAGCCATTATATTTCTTGAAAAATAATAAATTTCTTGTTAAGTTGCTTTTGGTAATTAATTAAACCGACTTCTATGTTTTTAACTTATGTTTCCTCTATTTGCATAACCAATGTTCATATTCGGCTTTCAAGTGTCAACTAGCTTCTTTTGTGTCACTCTCCGCAGGTTTTACTCTGAGTGGATGGGCCGGGAAAAGGCCGAGGGTGGGCCAGGGATTGGCCCCTTTTCCAAAGGGAAGGGGATTTGAGGGGATAGGGTAGGAGAATTGGGGATGGAGATGGTGACCCGCACCCGGTTCCTATCCCTATTTAAGGTCTTTAATGATGTTAGTTTACATTTGTTATAAATTGGAAATGCTGGTAGCTAGGGGGACAGTTCTTTATCATGGATATTAGAAGAGACTATGCATATAGTTTATCAGAGTCTTTTACCATATGTGTGTGTGTGTGTGCTTGTACTAACATGATGGAATATCATAATACTAGTCCACTGTTTGGCACAAACGTGACTTTTCTTATTTCCATTTTAATACGAGAATTAAAGAGGACGATTGGCTATTTTCAGTGAAGTTGTAAGATGGATTTGTAGAATTTGCCTAGAGAAACATGTCCGTAATAGGCTTTCTTTTTGTTATCCATTTATGTCAAATGAATCATATGAAAACGTGTACAAACTTAAAATAGGAAAAGAGATGGATGGCACCCTAGCACTTGTTAATTAAAATACCGAGGATTTGCATCCACTTCCTTGTAGACCACCATCATCTTTTATCAATGGTTCTTTGTTTACTTTGTTGCAATCTCTCTTTTTCCTTCCTTTGGTTCTGTTACAGTTGACATGGCTATCAGTTTATTTGTTGAATAACAATTCTGATTATCATCAATGTGGTTAGATGAGTGGAGATCTTGGGGTATCTGCTTTTCCAGAAGGGGAGAGCATATTTAGTTGGATTGGTACTATTGAGGGTGGCAAAGGAACTATGTATGAAGGTTTATCTTATAAACTCTCGTTACACTTTCCCGTGGACTATCCTTTCAAGCCTCCTCAGGTTAAGTTCGAAACAATGTGCTTCCATCCCAACGTCGACCAGTTCGGCAACATCTGTCTAGATATCCTTCAGGTATAAAAGTCTTTGTAATTCTTCAGCTTTAACATGTCAATTACATAATTTTCCAGTTAAAAACTTATCCTTATATTTGGATTGTTCATGTATATTTGGATCACGAGGCATCATTTCTTACCAAGAAAATCACTTGTGTGGCTTTTTAGATGATATATGCTCAGCTCAATAATCATTTCAGTACCGTTTTTGGGTTGATTCTGAGCTTTTCACTGATTCCTTCCTATACAATTAGCTAATTATTTCAATTGGCCAATGGTGATATCCATTATTGTTTCTTTGCAGGACAAGTGGTCTTCAGCCTATGATTGTCGAACCATTCTTTTGTCTATCCAAAGTTTATTAGGAGGTTTGTGAAAGCCTTCATGAACTTGTATCATATTTCAGTTGGTGCTTACTGTTTTAGCTCAATAGTATATCTTTCTCACGCAGAACCAAATATTGATAGTCCTCTCAACAGCTCTGCTGCTGCGCTCTGGTGCAACCAAGAAGGTGAGACAATTGTTCTATAAGGTTTCAAATCGCATTTTTTACCCTGGAAACAGCACGGTCACTGGAATTCAGGTATTGAATGGAGAAAATTGGAGTTCCTAAGGGAGAGGACTGAAGGATAGGTTTTGAGAATTTGGAGGGATTTTGGAGAAAAATTTACATCCATTTTTAAATAAATAACAAATTGCTATATATATATACACTATTATACTATCATCTAACAATGTTTAGGAAAACAACAAACAAGTCATTTCCTATTAACCAATCACATTTCACCCACAGATTTTTTTTTACCTTTGGTATCATATTTTTCAATTCAAGCTTCTTTTCTGCAACTTCTGCATAGCCTTACTACATTGCTGGTATCCGTTCTTTCAAAGCAATACTCTAAGAAGGTGTTTGGTTCACAGAATGGAATTGATGGAATTGGAATAATTTTGAGGGATTTGGAATTCGTGGAAAGATTTGGAATTCGTTGGTTTGTAGGATTTTAAATGGAATGAATTGAATTCCATTATTTATAAAAAAATTATATTATTTATAAATAATTATAAAAATAATTAAATTACTTTTTCATTAATTGATTATTTCAATTTCTTTTTACACATTTCAAACCATTATTACATACAAATCATAGGAAATCCGTGAAATACCAACCCCAAGGGATTTCAATATCCTATGTTTGTGGGATTTTAGTGAAATCCCTGGATTCTAGATCTATGAAATCCTTCAAACCAAACATGAGATTGTAATGAAATTCAAATTCCAAATACCTCCAAGTCCAATCCAATTCCACACACTAAGCAGGGGATAAGTGATGCTGTTGAGTAAAGTTTAATTTTAATAAAAAGCTGCAGATGTCTGTTGTTCCATTGATCATCTTTTACATATTTTAATTATGTTCTTTCAACAATTCACTGTATTAATTGGTTCCCTTGAGAATAGCAGCTGATCTATTCATAAGCATGATTACGTATAGAATCTCTCCAATAAGCAAACATTTTAAAAAATAGTTTTGAATAATGGTAAAATAGGATAATCTTGTGGAGCTGAGTATCAACAGCATTTGTATGACAATTGACAAATACATAAAATAATTGCCAACAAAACATTGCACATTTTACGACAGATTTCGAAATGGGTATGTGAACCGTTGTAGTTTTTATGGTAGATGAGTATTATCTTTTATTATTTGTGGAATAATTATTATAAATTTCGTGTTAATAAATATTTTGACCACCCTCTTGTCAGATTACAGAAGAATGGTACACAAACACTATGCAGTTGGAGAATCTTTTGAGAGCTGATGCACAAATCATGGGTCTACTTTCCTGGTAAGAAAGCAGTATTGTTAAATGTGTAGGCAAAAGCTGAAATTAAATGAGCTTACATTCATTTGTATACACAGATTTAGTCTGCTGTATAGTTGCCTAAACAACACCCATATATATATATATATAGGTATATTTATAATATATATAACGAGTCCTTTATGGACGTTTTCCTCTCTAAAATATCAGCTTTAAATACATTCATATTTATTTCTCGTTGGAAGAGGCCAATCTAATATCGAGAAATTGAATTGCCCATATTCATTGCCTTGCCCTGCTATAAGCCGACATCCGGCAATTCCGGGTTCAAGTTGGCTTATATAAGTATGCATTCTGCATCTTGTAAACTGTATTGTAGCTCAACCAAAAAACCCATCATTGTTTTGTAAATCTCTATTTCAACAAGGGTCTGTTTGTTAGTAGCTCCATGAGAATCATAGCTTATTCAATCAGCTATACATGATTGTTTGGTGTTAACTTAATTATAGAAAGTACTTATTCAGTAAGCTCTTAGAGGAAGATGCATGCAGAAAGGCAAAATGTTTCCAAACCTGCCCCTTCAATATAAAAAACACGTTCATTCCGTCTATGAAATACTCTTCCATACAAAAACTTTCTGAATCTATATAGACACATAATTAAGGAAAAAACAAACCAAATAATCCCTAAATTGTCAAAGACACTCAAATTACCAACATACACAAGTCTCAATTCAAACTCAGAACAGTTGGTTATCAAATAAAATATGTGAATCATTGTAAAGAAATGAAAACTAAATCAAGAAGTTTTATTTGCAAAAATAAAAATGAGACAAATTTATACAGAGGAAACATCAACTTTGTACCAAAATTGTGCTTATTATTATAGACATTGATTTATTGCACAATATTAAAACTTCACATGCTTAACAAACCCCAATCAACCTTGCTTAAATGTTCCATCCTTGAAGAGCTTCGTCACAACATCCAAATGATTTGCATCAAGAACATCATACGAACCATTGGATGTCAACATGTCTCGCGACAACACATCTGTGTTTCCGACATTGTTTTCGTTCAATATAAACGGAATGTTTTCTTTGTAGAACACTCCGTTTTCATAGACGAGACCATTGTTGTTGTTGTTGTTGCTACTGCTGCTGCTGCTGCTGCTGGTTCTCGTACCTTGAAATAGTTCGTCAGAGAAGTTTTCGATCATGGGAGGAAGATTTTGGTCTGCAAGAATTGAAGCCATCAATTGAAAATCTTTGAGCCTACGATCCGAGATCAAGTCCATGTCGGCCTTTGTAACCATGTACGATGAAGGGAGTTCCTGTAATGTTGTCAGAAGACGACCATCTGTCGGCTTATTTTTTGGATTTTTTTCTACTTCTGACTTGTTCTTTGACATGTTGCCTTTTTGACGTATCCGACATAACACCCAATCATCTAACTGCCAACAAAAACAAAATGGGTGTTTCTAAATAAACCCCTTTTGAGTCAAATCGCGCATTAGAAATGTAAACAAAAGCGTTTGATGTTGATGTGCAAGTGTGAAATTGACAAAAGGGTAAGGAGTTCATTTAAGAAGGAATAATTTTAGTACCCTCATCGATCCGTTTTGCCTAGATGACCGGCTTGATGACTCGGGCAACCTATATTCAGTCATGGTCCAACTAGTCTTGACGTTCTTTGCCGGATTTCCAATAAAAAAAGCCAACGCTTTCTTCACCCCGATCTTTCTTGACCCTGAAGAAGCAAAAATCGGCTTATCTTTCCCTGTAGCCTTCCAAAAACCCGACCCTGCCGACCTTCTAGGCCTTGATCCATTCGGGTATTTCCTATCCCTCGGGCTAAAAAAGAACATCTCATCCTCCCCGAATGACGCCTTTACTGCTAAGCAAACAAGAATCATATCAATCCACATAAACGCAACAAGAAACACAGAAAAAAAAAACCACAAGAATCTTACTGGGAAGTTGCCACGGGTCGCAACTGTATAGCTCGATTTCTGCGATTAGGGAAGCGGGAATCGAACGTAGTTTCACTTTGCTGAACAAATAATCAATGAGTTCTTCATCAGTCGGGTGGAATCTAAACCCGGGTGGGAGATGAAGAAATTGGTCTCCTCTCTCCATGGTTGGATCAAAGGGGAAAGAGTATAATAAAACGAACACTGTTTATATCGAGACACGAAGTTTAAGAGGTAATATAAGACGATATTAAAATCAAGAAACGTCATTTTCGGATTAAATGATAGAATAATGTTTTTTTTTTAATTTTAATGAAATATGCGGGTATTAACGTTATTGTTGGTCACATTGTTTTAACCGTCCCAAGGTTGTGGAGAAGGACACCCGTCATGTTGTTTAACGTTACATGGTTACGAAATAACCCCGTCATTTTCCACTTTTGGACAAGGTTCCTTTTGCTTGTCACATTCGATACTCTACTTAGGACCGTAAACAAATCGAACGAACAGTAACGGAAGTTTATTTGTGCTTGTTAGTTTAACTTAATCGAACAAATGAATGAACACAAACGTTAAACGAATGCTTTTTTTTATGTATGTGTGTGTTTATGTTGATTCATTAAGAAATGTGTTTGTTCGTGTTCATTTATGTTTTTTTTGTTAAAATGCTAAATGAACGAATATAAACGAACATAATGAAGGAACACAAATGAACAAAAAAAAAAACAACCGTTGTTATTCATTATTTCGTTTCTTGAAAAGAACATAACAAAATGAAAAAGTGGGTAAACTTATAAGCCATTAAAAAAATTCTATAAATTAATTTAATTAATGATTTTAGATAGTAATTCATAATATATAAATACTTATATATATTTATATATATAAACAAATCGTAAGCGAACATAAATGTACAAACATGATCATTATTCATGTTTGTTCATTTTACTAAACAAAAAAATGTGTTCATGTTCATTCATTTGTTAATTAAACGAACTTCCTGCAGAACTTTCGGTTCGTTTACAACCCTAGCTCTATTTGTCAAAATATGTGGGTCAGGTAGTTAAGTAACGAGTCAAAACGAATTTGGGCCGAGTAGGGGACAACATATGTGATGGACAGTAATAGAGAGTGAACAATGAGGAATCGACAGGGGGTATGAATGACATAGAACTTGGAACAGTAAAACTGATTTTTAATAGTTCAATGGTTTAGTTACTTAAAAAAAGTTCAAAACTTTCTTTGCAGATAGCCCGGAGTCACCGTATTTGAACCTCCATGGCCACAAAAAGATTTTTATTTCTTCTTGGATTTGAACCTGAGATCTCCTGATACTTTTGACCTTTGGAGCCAAGCTCAAATTAATCAGGCACCACCCTTATGGTTCAATGTAGGATTATTGTTACAAAAAGCTAGAAGTCTCATGTTTATTTTGCTTAATATAAACATATAATTAAAATAAAATAATAACAAATGACTAAAATATATTTTTATTTATTTTGCTTAAATTTGTAATACGAGTATTTAAATTATAATATTTATTATTTCGAAGTATACGTTTTCAAAAGAACTAAATGAGTTGTTTGTTTACCTCTTAATAGTTCCATTAAGAGGTAGTCTCTGAATCGCTAAGAAGTGAATTTTGTTTGACAAAAAAAATATGTCTCTTAATGATTCTAAAACCCTTTGAATGATTTTGTATCTTAGGTCTTCCTTACCTTTCAGTGCCATAATTTCATGCTGAATAATTACCCAACAATTATATTTAATTTTGCACTATATCATAAGAGTCTCTTAATCATGCTAATCATTTAATCATTTTACACTAAACCATTCAGCAACTAACAAACAGTCCATAAGTATTTAAAATCATTTATTATTTATAATTCATGTATTTTCGT